GTTATTGAATGAATATTGAACCAGGTTATTCAATTGAAAATGTTAAATTCTGTCAAATTAAATCCTTAAGAATAAGGATAGAAATTAGAAAATGGTTGTTTTCAACCTATACCAACAGACATGGATGTGGTACCATCTAATATACTTAAAGTAATTTGCTTTAACTATAATAATTTGTCAACAAATAATATAACAGATTAATAAGTTGATTTATTATACTATTTTGTAGCAGAAATTTTTATCCCAATAAATATTATGATTAGGATGAAAGTTAACCGTTAACTCTCTTTTAATAGGTGTTTTATTCATAAAGAGATTGGGTAATTTTAAAGAAAGGTTATCTCCCCTACTAGGTTTGTGGAATAAGATAAACTTTGTTTTCTCGACATTTAATGAAAGTTTATTAAATGTTATCCAGTAATTTATTTTTAATAATTCTTCGTTTGGTATTCTAAACAGATCTTTTATATTACTATTTGAATAAAAAAAATTCGAATTATCAGCAAATAAGATAACATTAAAAATTTTGGATACTAATTATAAATCATTTATAAAGAGTAGGAATAATAGTAGGCCTAAGATCCCTTGGGAACACCACAAGTTACAATATGTTTTTCTGTTTCATTTGCTGAATATATTATATATTGTTTTCTGTTTGACAGGTAACTTTTAAACATATTAAGTTATTGTTAAATATTCCTTACAGTTCTAGTTTTTTTTATAAGAATTTAATAGTCAACAGTGTCAAATGCTTTTGACAAATCAATAAAAACTCCTAATATATAATAATCATTATTGAACCCATTAAATATATAATTTATTCGCTCGACTAGCGCATGATCCATTGAATGATTCTTTTTGAACCCAAATTGTTTATTATACATTATATTGCTCTTAGTTAAATAACTATTAAGCCTATCATACATAATTCGTTCTAACAATTCTGAAAAGCATGGTAAAACAGAAATAGGTCTATAATTTGACATATTTGTGTCATCGCCAGATTTATAAACATCTTAATGATTTTTAATTTCTCTGGTACAATTCAGGATTTTAGTGACAGAATAAAAATGTAAAACAGTGACGTTTCAATAATATCAAACACTGCTTTAACAACATTCACGCTAATTTGATCTATGCCAGCATATTTATTATTTTTTAAACAGGCATTTCGCAACTCACTGATGTTTAATTTTACTTCTTTCATAGGTGTATTGATTGATTTTATATAAGATTCAAACTTTGATGTGTTTTTTGGAATTTTATCAGCTAACGATTGCTAACGTGTCACATGATAGAGCCGAAAATATTTGTCCTCGAAAATATCACCGAAATATTTCACAACCGAAAATTTTAGAACCGAAAAGTATACTTTCATTGCAGGATCGAATTACAAAATCCTTTCTTGCGCCGAAAGTTTTTAAACCGAATTTTACAACCGAAAAAATTTGGATCGAATAACAAAATCCTTTCTTTTTCACCTAATGTCAAATAGCCTGCTGCTGGGGGCTTCAGTACATACATCGACTGACAAATAGCCTGACTCGCAGTGGAGTGCTGCTACATCGACTGAGGGTTTGGTATGGGTCAGCAACATTTTCATTCATTATTCTTCGTTTTCCCTCATCGTTTTCTAAAATATACAATGTTTGATAACAGTGTAACTTTCGGTTGTAAACCATTTTAATGAAATTCGGTTCTAAAATCATTAATGACTTTCGATCGAAAATTCGATCGAAATTTTTTCGGTTCTAAAATCATTAATGACTTTCGATCGAAAATTCGATTGAAATTTTTTCGGTTCTAATTTTTTTCGTAAATATTTTCGGTTGTGTAATAAATTTCTCATATTCGGTTCTAAATTGAAATTAGGGATTCGGTTGAATCATAGGACGCCATTGCTAACAACCTTGCATAATAATTTTTTTTTTGCATGTTTCTTCGTTTATTCAAACATGTATTTATAGTTTTTGTATTTTAATTCATTTTTTTATGTTTTATGTTTTAAATACTTTTCATAAAGTTTTTGTTTTCTCTTTGATGATTTGTACAAACGTTTGGTCATCAAAGGGTTTAAAAGTGAATTAGAATTTATAATTTTTTTTTTACTAAAAATGCCAAATCATAGTGTTTACAAAACTGTGCCAAAAATAATTCATACGCATTGTTCGCATCTTGAGATTGTAATATAACATGATTTAAGAATTAAGAATATTGGGTAATGATCAGTTATGTCGGTTTTGATTATACCCAATTTTAAGAAGCAAGTATGAAAATTATTACTGAATATATTATCTAGTAACGTCGACGAGGTCTTAGTTATATGCTAATAAAAAATGCTAATATATATACATACATATATATATATATATATATGCCAATATAACAATATATATATATATATATATATATATATATATATATATATATATATATATATATATATATATATATATATTTTATAACCCGACGGGCATTTGTTTTTAAAAGTTACGATCTAAATGTATTTTAAATGTCTTTTAAACATTAATGTTTAAAAGACGTTAAAAACACCTTTAGATCGTAACTTTTAAAAACAAGTCGTCGGGTTATAAAATATATACATATATGCCCGTCGGGAAAATATGCTAATAATAAATGTTAAAGATATATAAGATACACTTATGAGAAATTTATATTCGAGTCACAAAATTATATTAAAACAATATATTTCTTTTCACATTTAAACGTTTTGTCCTATTTATATATAAAGGTAGAAATCTATATATAAATCCTGTTTATATATAAAGGTAGAAATCTATATATAAACTATTTTTCCTATTTATTAATGAAATTTTGCGCAGTAAAATGTTTTGAAAATAAGGTTTTGCGTTTCAAAAAGGTCGAATCAAACTAAACATAAATAACTTTTAAAAGAAACGTTTTTAAAAAATCTTTTTTTTAATTGCTAATTTGCATAAAATTTCAAACAATATATGATATATGGTATTTTGAAGGTGTCAAAATTGATTAACGTTTTGCTCCTAAGGGATGTACCTGTAGCGCAATCAACATGGCTTTTTTTAAACACTAATCCAATGACTGTTTTCATTCTATGTGCCAAATTTCAGCTTTATACTATTTTTTTCCGGGTTTGACAATGCATTGCTTACTTTATACACGTTTATAATGTAAACCAGGGATGTCGCCAGCATTTTTTAATCTTCGAGATATCTAACTTCCAGACATTTATATGTCTATAATTATGTCAAATAAGGATGCTTTGCAAAAAGTTGCAACGATTGGAAATTGGGAACAAAAAAGCCCCTGAATCTTAGCCCCCCTGCCCCAAACGTGAGAACAGCCGTTGCGCAGTGGTAGCGCACTTGCCTCAGAAACAAAAGATCCCTGGTTCAAACCCCACCTCTGGGCAAGTTTTGCGACATCGGTTAGGAAGGAGGCGTGAATTTCCAATTAAATGCTCATCCGCGGTACTCTGTGATAAGACCGTAACGACTTCTTGGGGCAAAAAAAAAAAAAAAGTTAATGAAATATTTTTTGAACTATTTTCAACTAGGCTTATATTCGTCAATTAGCTTTAAATGTAATAGTAAAATATTTTAGCGTTCAAAAAATATGACCATATAAAGTTTAAACCACGTTGCAAATTTTATATGGTAATGATTTTTGAACGCTGAGAAATTATAGTATGAAACTTAAAGTTTCTCGATGAATATAAATATAGTTGAAAGTAGTACTCTTCTTTATATCCTGTAACTTCAGGGGTTCCTCAAGGTTTTATTCTTCGCTGATGATACTACCATTTATTCTTGTCAAAAGAAGAAACCAAAAATCTCTCTAATTGGAGGGGGCATTTGAGTTTGAAAAAGATCTCACCTCTGCTACGGCATGGGACTCTCAGCAAAACTCTCATAAAACACAATTTTATTTAGCTAATCGTTATCGCAATAGTCTAGATCTTCCTATATTTATGAACGGTAATCTATTCGATGAGTCATCGACCTTTCATCTTCTAGGATTAACTCTTACTTACGATTTTATTTTTGAAAATCACACGTAATGCGGTTCACATAACTATTTCACTTAATGTGGCATAATCCTTAAATAAATACGTGCTAAATTTGATGTGGCTATCAGATGGGCCATACATATAAAACTCACGATCTTGCCTCATTTTGAATTTTAAATTTTAACCAATTGTAATAATTCTATCGCATTGTAAACTCTAGAATATTCCATGATATCATGTGGCTTACCGTTTTTGAAAAAACCCTATTCTGTAAAGTTAGCTTTTTTTTGCACCCCCCCCCCCCAGTCTTCGTCGTTCGGTACGGCCTTGCTTATATATAAGTATACAATATATATTATAAAAATCTGTAAATGTTTATAATTTTGTAAAAAATGTTTGAGCGGTTTTGTAATTATATTAGAGAATTGTTGTTCTAAATAAACTTTCCGTAAAATTTGTAAATCAGAGTTATACTTAACGAATACACTTAAACAACGTTATATTTTAAAAGAGCGCAAATTTCCGTAACCACAAATAAAAAGTAATGCTTAACTAACTTTTACGCACAAATGAAGCGTGGCGTTCGTTCTTATTTAGTGTGGTTTTAGTGGGATAAACATTATAGCCACATAAGGGACGCATCAACGCCATCCCATAAAGGAGAGTGGTAAGCATATGGTTAGCATGCAAATACCATATATGGCCCAAAATTCTTGTCGGGAACTCTCATATATTTACTGTGACTGTTCCTAAGTGCTCTAAAAATTCTTGTTCATCTAGTTTTTATCCGCGAACATCAGTTCTTTGGAATTCGCATCCTTTATCTTATTTTCCTGAATCGTATAATTTGCATCATTTCAAGTCGTCTGTTAATCGTTATCTTGATCTTAAACTTCATCTTTTCTCTTGCAGTAACTTCCAACTCAGTAGTGGTAGCTTGAAATCTTGTTGGAAGTAAGAATATTTATAAAAAAAAGACAAGAACTAAAAATCTATATTTATATTTATATAAAAGTATAAAAATATATACTACAAAGTATAAAAAGAATTATAAAACTTTTATATAAAAAAAAACAAACTATAAAATCATAGAATTTTAAAAAATAGCTCATAAAAATTATTTTAAAAATATAATTATTGACATTTTAAATATTTTAATAATAATTGATATAGAGATAAGTTAGTCCAATACTAAATTTTTATATTGATGTGCCGGCAACACATGCCATACTATAATAACTTTACCATCGTTTTCACCAGTATTTTTAGGTTCATAAAGTTTTTTATTGAACGCTGTTTCATCCTTCGGCATATGACCGTTAAAAAAGATCAACGCGTTCATTCCGAAGGCATTTTTATTTATCTCTTTTCCGGTACTAACAATAAGATACTTGGCGTAATATAAAGTATGATGACTTATGTCATCATGACGTTCATGATAACTTACGTCATCATGACGTTCTGTCGGAATAAGCACAAGTTTTCTCAATTCCTTTGTGTACGGATGAAGTGTTTGCAAAAGTATAGTTTTAGCCGATTTTTTGTGTACCTCATAAATAAGGATGTGTCCGCTTCCTGTACCAACCCACAACATGTTATCAACTGAACACATACACGTTACCCTGAGATCAACGTTACAAGCATTAGGAGAGCAAATCAGTATATCATCACGACAGTTAAATTTATGTAATGGTTCTTTAGTTGTCGCATTATGTATATAAATTTCAGGACTGCATTGAAAAGAGATAAAAAACAATGTTTCGTCTAACGAATAAACAATATCTTGAACATTTCTATTCATATGACACGGCTTCATGCCCTCTTCTTCATTCTTTAAATTACAAAAAGCAATCGAACGTCCAACAGACCAAATCGCTGTTTCGAGAAGCAATACCAGAGAAGTTACCGGAACGCATGAATTTAATTGAAAATCGTGAAGATATTTTAACATATTTCCTTTTAAAAAGTCTTTTTTTTTAACTTTAAAACAACGGCCATTATGACACCCAAGACAAACCCATTCGGAATTTGCAGAAATAGATACAACATGTAAATCCACCATTGGGTAATTTATATAAACACTGCACTTCTTCGCTTTATAAACTAATAATACATCATGAAGACCTCGTAACACAACACAAACATATTTTTTATCAATAGAGGTTATAGATGATATGTTAAAATATATGTCTTGTAGACTTAAATCAGTCCTATTTGGTAGACTTTTTAAAAATTCAATCTTTTCGATTTGTATTTCATTGACGACTTTAAAACATTCCATGTCTATTACAATGATATTCTGGCCTGTAGAAAACAAACTATATATATATATATATATATATATATATATATATATATATATATATATATATATATATATATATATATATATATATATATATACATATATATATAAAGGGCCGGCGCGAGTAGGGGTCACGTGAGGGGGTGGGTGGTGCTATTACAACAGGGTCTACATTTGCCGACTAACTAGTCAAAAAGGATCACATTTGCCGACTAAGGGTCAAATTTGCCTACTAAAAGTCATTGATAGGGTGGGGGGGTGTGACACCCCCACACACCCCTATCGCGCCGGCCTTGTATATATATATATATATATATATATATATATATATATATATATATATATATATATATATATATATATATATATATATATATATATACATATATATATATATATATATATATATATATATATATATATATATATATATATATATATATATATATATAGGCCTCGGCAGGAATAAATGAGTACGAGAGCGGAGAAGAGCTCTCCTAAAACAAACTTGGGGAGCTTAGCGATCTGCTCCTCCTTTTTTTCAACAACCGTGCCTTTTAAAAAGCATTTCAGTATATAAGGCAATTAATTTTTTTTAATGACATTGTGTTTTTTATTTTATTTGAAATGAAAATTATACTTTTGCGAGAGCCGTAAATAGCTCTCGTAAACCGTTTCAGGATAGTGTGGGAGAGACCGAGCTAAAGCTCTCGCTTTCCGCCGGCATATTTTAAAACCCTATACAGGCTCAGAATAGGCAGAGATATGTGCAATCTGATTCGCCAATTTTGAAAGAGAGGCGATTGCGCTTTATTTAAAAATATATTTAAAATCTAAACAACAGATTTTGAAATAAATTTCATAGTGATGATAAACTAAGTCTATCAATACAAGCCTTGTGTTACTATTAACATAGAAAATTTATTTTATTGCTCTTTAGAATATTTAAAAGGTATCAAAATCTATTTGTACCAGAGAATTTTCACTCGTAAAAATCTCAAAGTTTCAATAAAGTTTATCTTGGTGATGGAGATTTTATATGTTGTTATTTGAAGAAATGGAAAAAAGTGTAATTCGAAAAGATCTATAAATGTATTTCTCGCAAAATTTGTTCTTGGCCTTAAAGCATACTCAAATACAAAGTTTATATACAGTTGTACAAGACTACTTGTGAAGCACTTTTGCATATAAAGATTACATGTAGTTTTACCAGACTACTGGTGAAGAACTTTATAAATTGATTTATATGTTAATTATAAAGAGTTAAACATTAGAGTTTTTGAATAAAGAAAATTTCTACTGATTGCAAAACTAGCTTACATGTTCCATGTCAACATATGAGCTTTGAGAAGATTTTGTTTTCATGCTTTGTTTGGAAGAGACTGTTTTATTTTTTTATTGCATAACTCTAATAAAACATCATCTTAAACCATTAAACACTTTTAAAAATTTAGAAAAATTTTGGCAGGCTATATTAACTGTATGTATAAAATATTATTTGAAAATTTAACAAAAGAAGTGAAATTTATGTTTGTCTACTGAACAGTAATTTTTTGTACAGTTACATATAAACAATGAAATTAAAAGCAAGAAAAAGTATTAAAGTCAAATATGTTAACCAAATAATAAAAAAAAAAAATCAGTAGTCATGCTATGAATATTTTTGTTATAATAAAATGTGTTTTGTATGATAAACTCTTGAAGTATTTAACTTGAATTTGCATGTGTGCAATTTTGCAAGATTTCTAAGTGTGTTTCTCATCAAATGTAATGTCTATGTTCTATAAAGCATGGTCAATACAAAGTTTATATACAGTTGCACCAGACAAATGGTAAGGTACTTAAAGTATGCAAAGTATAAATTTTCAGCTGAGGCAGAGGTTGTTCTAAGCTCGTTACTGCATCTTTACACCGTCTTGTTAATTATAAATAGTTAAACATTTAAATTAAAAAAAAAAAAAAAATATTTTACCAATATTTTACCAAACTAGCTTACATGTTCCATGTAAATCTACGAACTCTGAAGAAGTTACTGTTTAACATAAATATTGAGAAGGCTGATAAGACGTACATCAATATTTTTCTTTACTTAACTTTAAAAAAAAATCATCCTTAAACCTTCAATCACTTTGTGAAAAATTAAAAAAAGTTTAACAGGGTATTTTAACTTATATATATAAATAGGATGAAAATTGTATATTAATAATCTATTGGAAAATTTAACAAAAAAAGGTGATATTTATTTGTTTTTCTACTGAACAGTTCTTTTTGTTCAGTTACATGTAAGCGTTGATATTACAAGCTAGCGAAGATAATTGATGTTAAATAACTTAACCAAATTAAGGTGTATTATTGTAATAAAAAGAACTTCATCAAAACAAGCTTTCACATTTGAAGAAGCAAGTTTTCAGAAAAAAATTATTAATATTACTGCAAGATAAAACATCTCTAAATTATTATACAAGAGGTATTCACAGAGATTCAACAAAAGCACACTTGATTTTATTGGCTATTCCAAAGATTACATAATAAAACTATTAATATAATTTGGAAATATGAAAGATAAATATTTCTGCCTAGAAAAATTTTTTTTTTTTGGAGAAGAAATTTTTTTTCTTTTAGGAGTATATAATGTAAAATAAATTAATAGCATAATAAATAAAAAATTTATTAAACTTTGTTGCTTTATTTAATATTATTTACCATCAGCTGCTATTAAAGGGTAAACGTTTTTTTACCAATTATAGAATACAATAACCAATATTTTGTTCAGGTTAAAAGTTATATATCAACAAACATGTGCTTCATAAGTATTGTCTTTTGAAATTGAAATAAACAACAACATAAACTTGTATTTTTGCAATTTTTCTTGTTTCTACCTTTTTACACTTAGCTCTGCATTAAGGCGTTTAAGTAAGAGTTATTCCTTTTTGTAATCAGTTTACTATATCAAAATGCACTTGTGGATATCAGGTTATAATTTTTTTCTAATAGCTAATTATGCTACAATGCTTAATAATCTTTTATTACTATACATTACCAAAGTAAAGTCAATCTAAATCAGCTCTTACTTACAATTGCTTTTAATTTGAGAGTGTTGCAAATTATCTGGGTTAGCTACAACAACCAATAAGCAATATTCTTAAACTTAAAATGTTTTAGTGATGTATACAATTTATATATGGGAGTAATAAGTGTAAAATTCTGAAAAAAAAATCAGGTAATTCTTGAAAAATATTTTTCTTGCTAAATGATAGGATTAAAGGGAACTTAATTTGAAAAAACTTATACCAAGTTAATAATCTTTTATTGATATTACTTGGTAAATTTTAAAACTGTTTTGAAAATCTATCGTAGTAGAATTACAACTAACAGAATTACAACTATCGTAACTAAGAATTACAACAAACCAGGTGGTAAAACTTGAACAGAGTCAAGTTTTACCACCTGGTTTATAGTTTGTTACAATCGTAGTTATTTTTATATTTTAGAGTTATAAAAACCATAAGGAAAACAAACTAATTTTTTTAAATCTTTATTTTTAAGAAAGTAAATGTTATATTGTACAATATTGTACAAAATTGGATAGAAAAACCATATATATTTTTTTTGTTATTATTATTTGGCAAATACTCTATTTCAATTTTTTTTTATTTTTGACATTTGTTTTAATTTAAACTTATGCGCAAAAGCCTCTCTTTCAAAATTGGCGAATCAGATTGCGCATATCTCTGCCTATTCTGAGCCTGTTTAGGGTTTCAAAATAAGCTTCCTGCCGAGGCTTGTATATATATATATATATTGATGTTGATCAATATATCTATATATATATTTACAGTTTATTTATATATAGTATATATCTAATTTTATACTTAAATTATATATATATAATATATATATATATATATATATATATATATATATATATATATATATACATATATATACATTACATGTATATATATATATATATATATATATATATATATATATATATATATATATATATATATATATATATATATATATATATATTTATTTGCATTCACTCCCAACAAGGATGCAAGCAACCACTATTAAGTTGGGAGTTACTAGGAAAAAAAAAAAGAACAGAGTTATAGAGCAAGGAAACGGTTGACAGAAGACTTGAAAAGTTGAAGGTTTTATGAGTCAGGAAAACATGAAGATGGGAGAGAGTTCCAAAGGATTGAAGTGCGGGGAAAAAAACTAGATGAATAAAAGTTTTTAGAGCATGCAGGGACAGATACAGTAAACGAGTGAGACTTAGCTGAATGACGAGTAAAACGAGAATGAATTTTAGTTGATGGAACTAGAGATGATAACTCCTTTGAGCAGTGACCATGATAGTATCTGTAGAAAAGAGAAAGAGATGCAACTTTACGACGATGGGAAAGAGGTTCAAGCTTAGCAGATAGTCCAGGTCCAACAACATTTACAATGCGTTTTTGGACCTTGTCAAGAAGAGAAAGTGAATCGTTAGAAGAACCAGCCCAAATATGACAACAGTATTCCATACAGGGACGAATAAGAAATTTGTAGAGGTAGAGAATGGAATCAGAAGTAAGAAAATGGCGAGCACGACTAAGAGAAGCAAACTTAGCAGAAGCTAATTTAGCAATCGATTGTATATATGGTTTCCATGAAAGGTCAGTAGTAAGCGATAATCCAAGAAGACGTAAAGAGGACGACTCAGTAAGAGGATTGCCATTCATTAATATAGGAATGTTGACCATATTACAGTAGTTGTTTGCAGTAAGCAACTGGGTTTTTTTAGAGTTGAAATTCACAAGCCACTGTGAACCCCAATCTATTACTGAAGTGAGATCAGATTCAAGATCAGCTGCTTGTTCTAGGCGATCGAAAAGAAAAGACTTTTTGTCAAGACAGGAGTAGAAAGTTGAGTCATCAGCAAAAAGAGCTACTTTAGATGAAAGGTTGTCAGGAAGAACGTTTATGTAGATAAGAAACAAAACAGGGC